AACATCTTTCCATGGTACATGATGTCTCTTTATATATTTTGTAGTCCTCAGTGCAGCTTCATTCAACCCAACTTGAAAAAAATAGACATGGATAGTAGGTCTCCAGCTTTATCAGGTATGATGACCTCTTCTTGACATTGCATATGCAGGCCTTTGGCAGCCAGCAAACCTCAATAGATTGTCACAGAATCACAGAATGGTCAGGGTTGGAAGGGACCTCAAGGATCATGAATCTCCAACCCCCCTGCCACATGCAGGGCCACCAACCTCCACATTTAATACCAGCCCAGGCTGCCCAGGGCCCCATCCAACCTGGCCTTGAACACCTCCAGGAACGGGGCATCCACAGCCTCTCTGGGCAGCTGTTCCAGCACCCCACCGCTCTTTCTATAAAGAACTTCCCCCTGACATCCAACCTAAATCCCCCCTCCCTCAACTTAAAACCATTTCCCCTTGTTCTGCTGTTTTTTCAACCCTTTCAAAGAGTTGATTCCCCTCCTGTTTGTAGGCTCCCTTTAGATATTGAAAGGCTGCAATGAGGTCACCCCACAGCCTTCTTTTCTCCAGGCTGAACAAGCCCAGCTCCCTCAGCCTGTTAAAAAATTCAGTTGAGTGCTGATGAGCAGTTGGGTGTTACTGGAAGCCAATTGTATGTTTTGGAAGGCCAGCTGATTGTTGCTGCAGGCCAACTGGGTGTTGACAAGCAGTTGCACACTATTGGAGGCCAGTTGGGTGTTGTTGGAGGCCAACTGGGTGTTGGCAAGAGGTTGCACACTCTTGGAGGCCAGCTGGTTGTTACTGCAGGCCAAATGATTGTTGCTAGAGGCCAGCTGGGTGTTGATGAGTGGCTTCACACTGTTGGAGGCCAACTGGTTGTTGCTGGAGGCCAACTAGGTGCTGCTGGAGACCAGGTGAGTGTTGCTGGAGGCCAACTGGGTGTAGACAAGCAGTTGCATACTGTTGGAGGCCAACTGGGTGCTGTTGGAGGCCAACTGTTGAGGCTAGTTGAGTGTTGATAAGCGGTTGCACGCTATTGGAGGCCAACTGGGTATTGCTGGAAGCCAACTGGGTGCTGCTGGAGGCCAACTGGGTGCTGTTGGTGGCCAACTGATTGTTGCTGGAGGCCATTTGGGTGTTGACAAGTTCTTGCACACTGCTGGAGGCCAACCGGGTGTTGCTGGAGACCACCTGGGTGTTGCTGGAGGCCAGCTTGATGCTGTTGGTGGCCAACTGGTTGTTGCTGGAGGCCACCTGGGTGTTGACAAGCAGTTGCACACTGCTGGGGGCCAACTGGATGTTGCTGGAGGCCAACTGGATGTTGCTGGAGGCCACCTGCGTGTTGCTGGAGACCACCTGGGTGTTGCTGGAGGCCAACTGGGTGCTGTTGGAGGCCACCTGGGTGTTTCCAGAGACCAACCGGGTATTGTTGGAGGTCAGTTGAGTGTTGACAAGCGGTTGCATGCTGTTGGATGCTAACTGGTTGTTGCTGGAGGCCAGTTGGGTGTTGCTGGAGGCCAGTTGGGTGTTGCTGGAGGCCAGCTGGCCCCTTTTGGTGGTCTGGGGGCTCATGGTTAGGCGGGAGACCTTCTGTCTGTGCCGGTGGTAGTGAATATCTTCAGATTGCCATGCGTGGTGAACCAGTTGCCACAGATACTATAGACGTAGGGCCATTCACCCGGTGGGACCTCAGGTGGATCTGCCAGGTGCTTTCACTCCCAAACCCCTTCCCACTAAACCCACACTCGTGTCGTGTCCCTCCCATGTCCCCCACACCAAAAATTGGGGGGTGGGGCGAGACCACTGGTGTCACCCCAACCCCACAGTAGGGCGTTGCCAAAAAGAAGGCGGTGGCGTGAGGTTGGCTTTTGGGGGGAAAAAGTGGGGAAAAAAGTTCTCCCCGTGATGAAATGCAGCTTTTTGTGAGGGGGGGAGGTGGCGTGGGGAGAGGGGTACGGAATTTTGGGGTGCTCAGAGCCCCCAGGAGGAGGACCTGGCAACAGATGTCTTTGGTCAGCTGCATCTGGCAGAGCTGACACTGTTGCAACACCCATAGTTCCTCCCAGTGGCAAACAGTGCTTCAGTCCTTTCATTAAGGACTCTCCAATTACTTACACCCTTCACACTTTTCTGGTGTCACTGATTCTATTACAGGTACTAATTAGTTGGTCAAGTTTAATGTGGTTGTCCTTTCCTTGTCCTTTCCACTTGACCTCTCCTTTTTCCACCCCCAGAGCCCCATGTCCCTTGTATAAGGGCACTCCTCTCTGAGCACAGAAAAGAGTCCAGCCTCCCTTTTCTTGTAGTTTATTATAGTCTGTCACCTCAGGGTTGGAAGCTAGCTTAGTTTCTTCCCCTTTGCAGGGAATGCACCCATGCTAACTGCCATGCAACAGGACAGATGTATGTCTTGATCATGTCTATCTGAGCATATGAAAGGCCAGCGACAGGTATATGGCTTGGGAGATGATGGTGAAACAACTGCTTTTGGGTCAGCAGACAGAGTGCAAGAAAGTTGACGGGTTGGGACATCTGCTTGAGGTGTGGTTTCAGAGATGGTGGACCTTTCCTTGAATAGGAAACAGAAGGAAAAAGATCAACCGTCACAAAGTACAACTTAGAAGGTGAAGACTGTGCATGAGGAGAAATGTCCCTCAAAGGGTGATGCTGTGGTGTCAGAAGTCACACAAGGAGTCTGTGATCAGCCCATGCCTTTGTGTTTCAGTGACCGGTTGGTGAGGATGGAGAGATAGTGGTGAGAGTATGGAAATGACACTGAGAGCAAGTTGGAAAAGTGAGGTGGATGGCTACATCCTGCAGAGAATGTGGGCATGTGTGGAACAGTGTAGGACAGCAGTGGTTACGGTGAAGTGCACTGGTGAGGCTGGAAGGCCCTGACAGCACCAAGATCTTTGCCCCCCTTTGCTCTGGCACCTGTCTCTGTTGTTGAAGCCCATGAGGAGACGCGTGGTCCACATGGCACTGAGACCTTGTTGTTTCCTGGTGATACTGAGGGAAGCCCGGAGGTGTTGTTTGATTATCCTTCATTCAGTATTGCACATCCTACATCCCACTGCCCAGGAAGGGCCCTGATGAGGAACAGAAATCTCCCTTCCCAAGGTCTGGGGGGCAAGCCTCAGTTTTTTTGCTTCATCAAATAAACCAAAGGCTTTCTCAGCATCAGAGCCGTGTATCAAGTGCCCTTGCCTACCTGTAATCATGGCCTCCAGTTATCTTTTCTAACGAGTCCATGGGGAGGCTATGTCAGTAATGGCCCTCTCTGGGTCCCATTAATACTTCAAGACACTTCAGCATTTCCTTCTGACTTTATCTTCTGGAGTGGTGACATCAGTTTCCTCTCAATACCTGAGGCTCATTGATTTGTCACCATGGGACTCATTAAGGTGCAGAATGCCTTGATGAGCCATTTTCATCTAGTCTTAGAGAAGCATGGTTAATTAGATTTCAAGAGTGCAGTTAAAATGAGTATATACTAAAAAAGAATGTTTTATTTTTCCAGGTGTTTTTCCTTGCTTTTCATTTTAGACAAATAGTGATAGCAATATTCCCCAACTGATATTGATCCAGGGTGTCTTCTAAGGAGATCTGGGCAGGTGGGAAAAACAGTCTCTTGAAGATGGACACTGTACAGACAATCTGATTGCTCACCTCCACAGGTGTGCCATTTCTCTCATTGGTCACCTGAGACTTGCTTCACTTTTCTTTACCTCTGATTTCTTTGCTGTTGTTAAAGCTGGATGTTACAGCTCTTTTGCACCAACTTTTGCCTGCTTTCCTTAGAGAATTGGCTGCAGACAGCCACAGAAAGGTTTTATTTATTCATTTAAAGTAAAACTGATAAGATCTATGAGAAGAAGAAAGCACGATCCTCAGCTCTGTGCCAAATCCAAGCTGTCTCTGATGATGTTTGTTTTTGTCACCCAATGCTGCAGAGTTCAGCTGAGTTCTCTTAGGGATCCTTGGCAGGAGGACTGGCCACAGTGGCATAGTTGTAATTAGAGAGTTATTATGTATGTGTGTGAATATATATATATATTTAATGATCAATGTTGCTTATGAACTAAAATTTCTAGCACTTTATGTAGCTGCACACCATTTTTAGAATTCTCAGTTGCATAAACTTTTCAGCCACCTGGACCCTCTGCAGATGGCATACAATTCTTACTCGTCAGCATGCAGGACATCCACAGCCCGGGCTCAGACTGTCTTAATAGAACATGAGCTATTCGCTCAGTCCTCAGAGGAAGAAGGCAGCAGTGGAAGTACCCCTGGCCACAGGGGAATTGTGGACCTGGTCGTTAAGTGAAGGTTCTGGTCTAAGTCTCGGACTTGTAGCTGCTTGATTTTACAGACCGTGCTTCTGCGCTCTTACACTTCCCTGTCCAGCCAACAAATGCCACCATATCTTGGCAACCCAGCACCAGGTTTTTGATAATGTTGGTGGGTGCAACCCCCCTGCCAAGGGGTGTCCCACACCCCTGTAGCATCCCAGTGCTTGGCCTGGTGTTGTGCCGATCATCCCAGGATGGAAGAAAACCAAAATGTTGCCACTGATACCAGCCTGAGAGTCACATACTGATCAGCAGCATACACTTGTTTCCTCTAATATTATTTCCTTCTATGGGAGGAATAGAGGAAAAGGGACTATTCCTTAAATCATGTAAATACAAACCAGAAGTCATTTAATTATTAATTATGAGCAGATCAGACTTAAAATAATATCTTTTTTCTGTGGGACTGTCCAACAGAGAGGGAGTGATAATTATCCTGGAAATCCTCCACTGCTCTTTTTTTCTTCACAGTACATGTGTCTAGATTTGAGGTAAATTTGCTATCACATTTTCTCATGTTCACCTCATGGTAACACAGGTAAAACCACATGGTGACACATGGGGTGGGGGGAATTCTTCTATGCATTTCTATCATATGTGTGAGACTGGGAATAGGAAGCAGCTACTAGGAAAAGAATCAATTCTATCCAGGTTGTTGTAAGGCCCTTTATTTTGTTTAGGTACTGAGGAGGAATGACAAGTGGCATTTCTCTGTGGAGAATGTTTTCACAGAAAACCAAAGGGGAAAAAAGCCAACATGAGCAAATGACAGGTTCTGACAATCAAGAGTTTTACTATGAATGATTTGCAGAAGAAGAAAGACAGATGTTTACTTCTGAAAAGACTACTCAGGGCACCCTTGAGCTCCTGGTTCCTCATGCTGTAGATGAGAGGGTTCACTGCTGGGGGCACCACCGAGTACAGCACTGCCACAGCCAGGTCCAGGGATGGGGAGGAGACGGAGGGTGGCTTCAGGTAGGCAAAGGTGCCAGTGCTGACAAACAGGGAGACCACAGCCAGGTGAGGGAGGCACATGGAGAAGGCTTTGTGCCGGCCCTGCTCAGAGGGCATCCTCAGCACAGCCCTGAAGATCTGCGCATAGGAGAGCACAATGAAAACCAAGCACCCAGATGCAGAAGAGAGACTAACCACAAGAAGAGCAACTTCCCTGAGATAGAAGCTGGAGCAGGAGAGCTTGAGGATCTGGGGAACTTCGCAGAAGAACTGGTCCACAGCATTGCCTTGGCAGAGTGGCAGTGAGAATGTACTGGCAGTGTGCAGCAGAGCATTGAGGAGCCCAGAGCCCCAGGCAGCTGCTGCCATGGTGGCACAAGCTCTGCTGCCCAGCAGGGTCCCATAGTGCAGGGGCTTGCAGATGGCAATGTAGCGGTCATAGGACATGACAGTAAGAAGAGCACACTCAGCTGTAGTACAGAAAAAGAGAAAAAATACTTGTGCAGCACATCCTGTGTATGAGATGGCCCCACTGTCCCAAAGGAAATTGGACATGGCTTTGGGGAGAGTGGTGGAGATAGAGCCCAGATCACAGAAGGCAAGGTTAAGGAGGAAGAAGTACATGGGAGTGTGCATATGATGATCACAGACTACAGCTGTAATGACGAGGCCATTGCTCAGGAAGGCAGCCAGGTAGATGCCCAGGGAGAGCCAGAAGTGCAGGAGCTGCAGCTCCCGTGTGTCTGTGAATGCCAGGAGGAGGAACTCAGTGGTGGAGCTGCTGTTGGACATCTGCTCTGTCTGGGCACAGGGACCTGTCCAGGGAGGAAGAGGCCTAATTTAGGAGATGCTTCTCTGCTCAAATCCTGTAACTCTTCTCACAGAAGACCCCCAACATACCTTGTCTTTCAGAGAATATTGTGTCTCTCTCTTGATTAAGCTCTGGTTGGCACTAAGGTCATCACAGGGAACAGGAGCACTGCAGGAGTCTGTTCAGCCTACAGCAGTAGGTAAATAGGAACACGCGGTGACCTCAGAACATATCCACTCATAATACCCTCACGATATCAAAAATCTTTCCAGCATTGTCCCTACCAACTCACCCAACTACAGGACAGCACCAGAAGGTTGGATTTCATTTGTTTTAATTGCCCCACCACACCAGAGGAGTGTTAAGGCAGAAAGCATTGGCATTGCTTTTGAACTCCAAGTGAAATCCTTTGGGTCCCAATAGGCAAAGGGACTATTCCTTACTGCAAAGTGAAGAGAGCCACTCTGTCCATCAGCCCTGGTCTCAGCTTGCTGACACCTCTTTGAGAAGGAGGATGATTGCTCTTGTGCACTTCCTTGAGAAGAACCTGCACACTGCTGAGAGCAGACAAATCCAGGTCCCAAATGCAGAGGAACAAAACCTTCACCCAGCCTCATTTTAGCTGAGGAGGGTCTCAGTGCTCCTCATTTAGGCAGAGACAGAGAGGACTCACTGTAAATTCCCATATAGAGCCATCCATGGCTTTAGCAGCAAGGTGACTCCTATATAGGGCTAAGAGAGAACACACAGATACTACAAGAGAGGTGAGCCCTTCTGGAGGGCAACCTGCATCTTAACAAGAATTCCAGGGAATGACAAGGGAATGTCTTGGAGACAGGGTATCCGGAAGGAAGGAACAGATCCTTGCGAGCACCAGAGTGCAGTGCCAGAGATCCTAAAGATCACTTCCGAAGAACCTTGATGGCATCATGAAGGTGATGCTAGTGCAGTCTGTAGGTCAAAGCGGAGGGGTAGGGAACAGGAAATTTTTGCAGTTCATCACCAACAATATTGATCTGTCAGTGCAATGTTCTAGGAATCACATTCTCCTGTCGATTGATATTCCATACCCACGACACCTGCCTCCCCTCTGCAGCAGGAATTTGAAGTCACAGACTTCAGAAAATGCCTTCCCCTTCAAGTATCTTATGCCTTTATCTTCTTCTTTAAACATCCCCTCATAAATGCAGTTCTCCACAACACCTTATAATCTAAGTTAGAGGAAGAGGGAAAGCCATCCTGACAGATGATAACAGTCACTGGACGTGCCAGCTTTGCCCTTCGATAACCCCCTATACATTGTCTTCAACCCAAGACTCACTGTGCTAGGATCCAAAGGTTCATCCTGTTCAGAGCTATTCTCTATTGTTGCACTCCACATAGCCTTTAACACCTCTCCCATCTCTCCTCTCTCCACACCACCTGCAGTGGCCCTGCCCTGCTGCGTGCCACATAGGAGCTGCTCCTGGGATTCCATGGTAAATAACAGAGATAGGGAATAGCAGTGAGCTGTACAAATACAAAAACTCCTGATGACACTTCATTGCCAGACCTGGCCCAAGATGTCTGCACGCTGTAATCTAATAATTCTGTGAGTATGGGTGACATCTGGGAACATCCTCTTGGAGCCTGTTGGGAAATCCTTTTGGTCAAGTGAAATGAAACCAGATCCTGGTCATAGAATTATTTAGGTTGGAAAATGCCTCCAAGACCATCAATTCCAACAGATAATATAACACTGCAAAGTCCACCACTATACCAAGCCCCCCTAAGCACTACACTGCACATCTTGTAAATACTCCCAGGAGCGATGATGCAGCTACTTCCCTGGGCAGCCTGTTCAGATCACTGATAAAGCTATAAAAACTGGCCTCACTACTGAACTCCCTTCACTACAACTATCTGGGCCTGGGACCCAGACAGATTTTCATCCAGCAAAGCTTATGCCTATAGAAGCCACAGGCAGTTTATGCAGGAGTATGTGGAGCTTCTCCAGGAGCAGCTTTACTAAAATATAGATAGACAACATCCACAGCCTTTCCCACCAAACAGATCGTCTTTCATAGCAGGAAACCAGGCTAGACAAGCAGGATCTACCTGTCATAAATCCATGCTGCCTGGGCCTGTCCACCTGCTTGTTCTGTATGATGGCACGGACAACCAATGCCATAACCTCCCCCAGCACTGAAATCAGACTGACAGGCTTGTAGTTACCTGCTTATAGCCCTGCTTGTAGATGAGCACCCCCTTAGCTGACCTCTAGTCAACTGGGACCTCTCCAGATAGCCAGGATGGCTGACAAATGAGAGAAAGTGGCTTGATGAGCACATTAGCCACCTTCTTTGTTACTCTTGGACAGATCCCATCTGGTTTCATAAACCTGTGTGCATCTAAGAGTTGTTGCAAGTCGCTATCCATTTCTTCTTGGAATACGATGGCTGTTCCTGCTTCTCATCCTTATTTTCTAGCTCAGGATGCTGGGTATCCAGAGAACAACTGGTCTTTCTACTAAGGACTGAGGCAAAGGTGGCATTAACCATCTCATCCTTCATCACTGTATTTACCCCCACAACCAGTAAAGGATAGAGATTCTTCTGTAGTTGCTGATGTAATTACAGAAGCATTTTTGTGGTCTTAAATGGCAGCAGCCAGATAAAACTCCAGCAGGGTTTTGTCCCTTCTCATTTTAGATGTACTGAGGGACAGGAGTTAGTGAGAAATATTGATGATACATGGATGGTTGGACTGGATGATCTTAGAGATCTTTACCAATCTTGGTGATACTATGATTTTCTCACTGCATAGACTCATGATCTCTTTGTAGTCCTCCTGAGTGTCTTGCCCCTTCTTCCAAAGACCATGAACTCTCCATTTCTTCCTCAGTTTTAGCTCTCTATTCAGCTAGGCTGGTCTTCTTCCCTGCCAGCTCACCTTTTGGCGCGTGGGAATGGCCTGTTCCTGAACCTTAGCATTTCCTTCTTGAGGGGTGTCCAGCCTTCCTGAAGACCTTTGACCATCAGGAAAATACCCAAAGGACTCTGTCAACCAGTCTCCTAAACAGGCTGAAGTTTGCTCTCCAGGAATCCAACAAGGCAGTTCTTGCTAACTTCCCTCTTCACTTTTCCAGGGATCAAAAACTATTAGTTTGTGACTGCCATGCTCAAACCAGCCTTCAACCTTCACATCACCCACAAGTCCTTCTCTGTTCACAAGCAAAAGTTCCAACAACATGTCTTACCAGGTTGGCTCACTCACCAGCTGTGTCAGGAAGTTATCTTCCACACATTTCAGAAACCTCCTAGACTGTTTTCTCCTGCTGTATTCTATTTCCACCAGACACCTGGTCAGTTGAAGCTTCCCATGAGAGCAAGGGCTAGTGATCGTGAAACAGCTACTTGTACAGTGCTGCACCTGTCTCTTCATCCTGGTTGGGTGGTCTATAACAAACTCCCACCACGACATCTACCTTACTCATAAATACTCAACCCTATCATCACCGTCATTAAGCTACAGGCAATCAAAACGCTCCCTAACATACATGGCTACCTTGCTGACTCTCCTTGCTGGCCTATCCTTTCCAAAATATTTATAGCCATCCACTGCAGCACTCCTGTCATGAAAGTCATTCCACCATGTTTCTGTGATGATAACTAGATCATAGTTTTCCCTGTGGCTCAATGGCTTCCAGCTCCTCCCATTTGTTGCTCACACTGCATGCATTTTGTAGATGCACTTCGTCTGGATTAATGATCTCCCTCCAAGAAAGTGATGAGAAGCCCTAATTCCTTCTCTTCTCCAGACTGAACAATCCCAGTTCCCTCAGGCGCTTCCCATAAGACTTGAGCTGCAGACCCTTCACAACTCCACTGCCCTTCTCTGGAACTCCGTCCCATTGGCCTCAGCCCAGCCATCAGCCTGTCCAGCTCCCTCTGTAGAGCCTGCCTGCCCTCAGGCAGATCCATGCTTCCCCCCACGAGGTGTTGTCTGCAAACTTACTGAGGGTGCACTCAGTTCTGAGATCCAGGTCATCAATAAGGACATTAAACAGAACAGATATTAAACAGATCCCTGGGGAACACCAGTAGCGACCGGTCACCAGCTGGATGCAACTCCATTTACCACCACTCTCTGGGCCCAGCCCTCTAGCCAGTTCTTTACCCAGAACTGAGGGCACCTTTCCAGGCCATGGGCTGCAGCTTCTCCAGGAGAATACTGTACTAAGTATAGCAGTTTCTCAACACCCAGGACTTAGATGATACTGAAGCTGCTACTCTCATTACCATACATGCATCTGACATCTTCACTTGTGGTGCATTTTTGTTAAAATTGATGAAGGAACACCAAGGGAACAATAAATCCACCTTGGGCTACCTCAGATGCTCTGGAGTACCAAAGAAAGAAAGCTCCACAAGATTAATTTCCCTCACAGTCAAGGGAAATCAAACTGAATAGAGAAACATCCCAGCGGTATCACCCATGTAAGTTAAAAACATTATTTAAATAGAAGTGTTTTAGGGTAACTGATACATTGCCATGGTGTGATACAAGAGAGGGTACACCAGATACATCCTGGAGCAGCTGCTGGAGACAAAGTGGACTTCTAAAAGTTAGAAGAACTTAGAAGTTCCCAGCAATGTTATTATCACAATATACTCTTAAGTTATTCACCAGTTCCTTTTTGAATAATACAGACAAGTAATAAGTTATAAGCTTTTTTTTTTTTTTTAATCTGAGCTCAAGGATCTCTGTGCCATGAAGGGATTCAGACCATAAAATCACCAACCAAGGACATCAGAAATCATAGAATTGTATTATCATAGAAAGTTTTGGGTTGGAAGAGATCTCAATGACCATTTAATTCCAACACCCCTACAATGGATGGGGACACTTCCCACCAGACCAGGTTGTCCAAAGCCCCATCCAATCTGGCCTTGACCAATTATAGGGAGAGGACAGCTGCAGCTTCTCTAAGTAAGCCATTCCTGTGCTAAGCTGTACTGAGGGACAAAGGAATGGAGCAGAGATGGCAGCTCTTTAAGGAGAGTTTTCTTAGAGCACAAGAACTCCCCATCCCCAAGCATGTGAAGTGAAACAGGCAAGGCAGGAAACCAGCATGGCTGAAGAAGGACATTCTCGTCCCATTGTGGGATAAGAAGGAAATGCACACACTGTGGGATCAGGGATGGGTGGCTTGGAAAGAATACAAGGATGCAATCTAGATGTGCAGATCAAGAGAAACAGGGAGCATGTGGAACCAAACTTGGGAAAGGATGTGAAGAATAACAAGAAGGGATTCTACAGGTACATTGGTCAGAAGGGAAATTGGCCTTGGAGTGTTCACCACCTCTGGCACATGAGAAGGGAGAAATGGTAACAATGGACATAAAGAAGGCTGAGGTATTTGAGCTCTTTATCTCAGCATTCAGAGACAGCCAAGCTTCCAACATCTCTCAAGTTCTGGGACCTCTACAAGAGGACTGGGGGAGCAAAATCCCTTCCACTGTAAGAGAAGAACAATTTTGAGACTGCCTGATCAGCACCAGCTTTGTTTCAGAAGAAAACAGGGAGTAAAACAAACTGATATTCTGTAGTCACTTTTACTTGTGTCAGTTTCCATTAGCAAACAATTCAAAGAAAAGGTACCAGGGAATGTAGCAATTGGACGGATCAGTGCAATAGGAAAGGGGTTACAACAAAGGTGTGATGACAAAAGGGCTGGCACAAAAGAGAAGTACTATAAGGGAAGGGAAGAAGATTGCTCACCTGTACCTGAAGAATCTAGGTTTGCAAATGAAAGCTTCACCAAGGAGGGATCTCCAAGAAGAGACAACAGCCAGCAGTCAGTCACAGTCAGCCCTTAAATGAGGTCTAAGAGAGGTGCAGCCAGGCTCCACCCCTTCCTGTCACACAGGTAAACTGCCTTCACCTGTACTCCCAGGGTAGACTGAGTCTTTTGCCCAGGTGGTCAATCAATGGTTCAGGCTGTGACTCAGCGGTTACCATACAAGGAGTTATCCCAGGTCAGTTTTCATTCTCATGAAGCTGTCTGCATATGGATGTCTTGCTCTGGACATTCTGTAGCAGTTTACTAGTTACAAAAACTTTTTACTTGGCCCCACGTTTAAGGAATGCACCTCTTTACTATTTATTTCCTAGTTTTGGGGTAGTGCTGTGTGGACTGTGCTGATCCTGGATTCATACTGTAAACTGAGGATCTCTACATAGCTTCATAATGGCCAGGGCTGACACACCATAGAAGAGTGTGCATATTCACATATTTTGCATAAATCTTTCCTTAGGTTTACACAGAACATATATGTTTCAGTTCCCTCACTCCCACAGCAGCATGGTGAAGAGAATAAGAAGATCAAAAGCAAAAGAACTCATGTTGAGATAAAGACAGTTTAGTAAGTGAGGAAAGAGGAAAAAAAAAACCAAACACAAATTATGTATAGGCAATAACTTCCGATGTAAAGATGATCACCATCTTCCACAAGTAATCATCCAGTCAATTTCTAAGCAGCTTTTACCTTGGAAGACAACATCCCCTGACCCCATCCCCAACTTGCCCAAGTTCTTCCCCTCCTCTCCCCCCCTCCCTTCTCTTCATCAGTTGTCCTGGCTGTATCCCTTGCCCACCCCCTGTAGCATGGGGAAGTTCAGATCCTGAAGATGGTGGGCTCTACAAAACAGCCTAGGAGGGAATTTGCTGTTTCCAGACATTCATCCAGATGTAACTCTGCAAGTAGAAAGAAAATGTTGAGAAGGTACACTACTCAGAAAGGGAAGATAGTGTGTATTGACTATCCCATAGACTGCTACACAGGAGCAGGGGAAAGAGGAACACGGAAATTGGTTGTGCGTTTTCTGGGAAAGGCCCATAGTATGAATTTTCCAAGCAAAATCTTACCAGCTCTGTCCCACAGCCACCTACGAGCTTTGGCCTCCAGAAGTTCTGACCAGGATACCCTCCATTTATACTGGTGCAACCACACTAAGGCCAAAACTGTGGCCAAAACTGGCTTCACATCCTACTGGGGGGGAAGGAGGAGAGAAGAGATTGAACAATTAGTGGGAAGAAAGAAAAATAAACCTTTGGACAAAGCTTTGTCTGAAAAAAAGACCTCGACAGACAAAAATTTCTCTAGGCTTCTAAAACCATCAAAGCCAGGAAGCTTCCAGATCATAGAATCATATACTCATAGTCTCATAGAGTTAGACCTGAATTTATAGAATCACAGAATCACAGAATGGCTTGGGTTGGAAAGGACATTAAAGATCATCTACTTCCAAGCCATGGGCAAGGCTCCCACCCACCAGATCAGGCTGCCCAGGATCCCATCCAATCTGACTTTGAATGCCACTAGGGACAGGGCTTCCAAAGCTTCTATGGGAAGCCTGTGCCAGAGCTTCATCACCTTCTGAGTAAAACATTTCCTCCTAACACCTTATCTAAATCTCCCCTCTTTTAGTTTGAAACCATTGCCTCTTGTCCTATTACTATCAGACCATGAAAAAGACATCTGTGCTGATTGAATCTTTCCTTTCCACAAGTAGGGAGGCTCTATATACTGAAGGTTTTCATCTCCTGTTCAACTCAGACTGTAAACTTGGAGCCAAGAAAAGTTCAACTTGTGACATTTCCCACACTTGACACTGATCTACTTACCTTACTGAGACTTTGTCCCTCAATATCAGCCTTCCTGAGCCCCAAGGCAGAGATCAGGGCTGAGGTGAGGGCCCAGGACCCGTTTGCTTTCTGGAGTGCCACTACTACCCTGATACTGGAGAAGTTACACAGTTTTGTTGACAGTGGTGAAATTGTCCAGTCCCAACTGGTGTTAAAAGCTGTTGGTTCTTCCATCATCTGCTCTTCAGGAGAAGACTCCTGCTCTGGAAAACAGAAATATTCATGTAGTCCCTTTGAGATAAGCACTGGCTAGTCAATTCAATAAAGGAAACTTCGTGGTTGATGTTTGTTACAGGGGGAGGATGTCTTCACCCACAGGAAGCATCATGCCAGTGGACTCTGATCCTGTTAGGAAATTTCAACCACCTAGACATCTTCTGGAAGAAAGTAGTACAGCAAGTTGCAAGCAGTCTAGAGACCCCTGGGACTCACACTCCTGGGTTGTGTTGAGGATAGATTCCTAATCCAGAGGATAGAAAGCACAGTCAACAAGAAGAGACATGTTACTGTGTTACAACAATACAGAGAACTCAGTGAAGAGGGCTGGATGTAGCATGGGCTGCATTCATCACGCCCCAGGACAAGTGATGATTTTGAGGAGTATAGGCCAGGCTAAAAGGCAAGACACTGAGCCTCAAGTAGGCAAACTTTCAGTTGTTTGAAGCATTGATGGATGGAACCTCCTGGGAAATCACTTTCAACAATAAAGAAGCAGAAGAGATCTTGGATATATTTAAAGATATTTTTCTTAGGGTACAAGAGCTCTCAATTCCAACATGCAAGAAATTGGGCAATGGAAAAGAAAGACCAATGTGACTGAGTCAGGACTTCCTCGTGAAGCTAAAATTAAAAAAAAAAAAAAAAAAAAGGAAATGTGTAGACAGTGAGTTGTAGATCCCAGAAAGATTACAGAAATGCGAACTGGAACACAGGAGCTTCCATCTGAACAAGAGGAAACATTTATTTGCTGCGTAGGCTACAGAGCGCTGGAAGAGTCTGTGGAGTCTCCCTCTGTCGGAGTACTTGAAAGTCTTCCAGACGTGGTCCTGGGCAATCAGATTCAGTGACCCCGTATGAGCAGGGAGTTAGGACTGGATGACCTCCAGATGTCCCTTCCAACCTCAACCATTCTGTGATTCTAGCCACTCATTTGCATCAAGTGTGACCCATTCTTCTTAGCTTCCCACCTTATATTTTCTCAATCCATCTGCCTTATTTTGTCAATCCACAGAAAAAATCCAATCCAGAGAACTACCCGCCTGATTTCTTTAATTTTGAAGAGATCATGTTTCTGCAGCAGTACAGTTTTCCTTCTATCTATTCCCCATTCTCTGTGCATTTCTCTACAAACATTTGAGATGCCTCCAATATCACATAGCTTTTTCAGGGGAAACGTGAAAACCTCCTCTGTCTCCTAAACATCTGCTCTATCCCTTGTGCCCTCAATTTTCTTCTGGTCTTCCCCAATGCACTTACTTTGCATTCTTCTTCATTAGAAGAGCAAACCTATTTGCAGAAGTAATGTAAGCTCTGATGGTTTTCAGCCTCTCCACCAGGGCTCCAGTTTATCCCTGGTAGTGTCACTGCTGTCCACATGAAAGAGCAGTGACAGGCCCATGAGCCAGAAGAACCTTGACAGTCTCTGAAAGTTCCTTGGTCCTGACCTCTGAGAAGCAACATGCCGTCAAATATATCCAGCTGAGTTGCCAGTTGAGTACCCCCATACACTGCAGGAGAGAGTTTCCAGAAACTATTACATGCCTTTTCCTCTCTACTTGGGCACCAGATTCAGGCTCATCTAATTCTGGATGCCTCACCTGAAAGTCCTTTTTTGTCCTCATCAGTGTCTCAGATACTATCTCTATTCTGTGGTTCATAGAATAGAATCATAGAATGAGTTGAGTTGAAAGGGCCCTTAAATACCTCCTATTTCCAATCCCCCCAGCCATGGGCAGAGTTTCCAATCACCAGCTCAGGCTGTTCAGGGCTTGAACAAACTGGCCTTGAATGCCTCCAGGAATGGGGCATCTACAGCTTCTCAGGGCAACCTGTTCCAGTGTTTCACCACACTCTGGGTAAAGAATTTCCTCCTAATATCTAACCAAAATTCCCTTCTCTTAGTTTAAAACCATTCCCCTTTCACTATCAGACCATGTAAAAAGTTGTATTTTTATAAGCTTCCTTTAAGTACTGAAAGGCTGCAATGTGATCTCTTTAAGCCTTCTCCAGGCTGAACAACTCCAACTGTCTCAGCCATTCTTTGTACTCCAGCCCTCTGATTGTCTCTGTGGCCATCCTGTGGATCTACTCTAACAACTACTTTTTCTTTCTTGTGCTGGAGGCCCCAGATCTGGATGTAGTTCTCCAGATGGAGCCTCACAAGGGCAGAACAGAACAGGATAATCACTTTCTTCATCCTCCTGGCCATGTCTCTTGTGATGCAGTCCAGGACACAGTTGGCTTCTGTGCTTCCTGACACTCCTGGCTTGTGTCAATCTTTTCATTCATCAGAACCCCCAAGTCCATCTATGCAAGAGAAGTTCTCCACGAGTTCTTCTCCCAGTCTGTACATGCTGTGGATTTCCCTGACCCAGGTCCAGCACTTTGCACTTGGTCTTACTGAGCCTCATTCAGTTCATTCAGGTCCATTTCCTAAGTTTGTCCAGGTCCAGCACCTTTAGCTGTCATCTGCAAACTTGATGAGGGTGTACTCAATCCCCCTGCCTGTATCTTTGGTAAAGATGCCGAAGAGTAATGTCTGAAGATGAACACCCGTGGACAACACTTGCCACTGGCCTCCACCTGGACACAGAGCCATTGACAACAACGCTTTGGCTGTGACCATCCAACCAATTACTTATCCACTGAATAGTAAATTCTTCAGATCCATACCTCACCTAAATAGAGATAAGAATGTGATGTGGGACCATGTTAAAGGTTTTGTAGAAGTGGAAGTAGATGACATCAGTTGCTCTTCCTTTGTCCACTGGTGCCATCACTCCATCACAGAGCGCCACCAGATTGGTAAGACACTATCCTGCCCTTGGTGAAGCTGTGCTGGATGTCTCAGATCACCTCCTCATCTCTTAAATGCTTTAACATGTCTTCCAGGAGGTCTGTTCTATGATCTTCCCAGGCACGGAAGTGAGGCTCCCCAGTCTGTAGTTTTGTCAGTCTTCCTTTCTACTCTTCTTAAAAATAGGAGTGATGTTTCCCCTGAGGCCTTCATCTGACAGCCACAACTTTTCAAATGTGATGGAGAGTGTCCTGGCAACCACATCAATCAGTTCCTTGAAGACCTTGCAATGGAAATCATTGGCCCCCACAGTCTTGTACATAGGCCTCTCCAAAAGTGGACCCCTCAAACCCATATTTCTCCAATTTAAAGATAGGATGTGGTGCAAGATCATGAAGATGTTTTGTGACAAACTTAGAATTGTAGAATATTCTGAGCTGGGATAGAGCAATAAGAATCATGATAGCTGGAGCTCAGATTAATTCAAGGAACTAGTTGGTTCTTAGTTTTTAGCCCAGAGTTGAGAGGTAGAAATTTTTTTGGGCTATCTCTCCATCCATCCCCAGAGCACTGACAATCAGGAGGTCTGGTGAAAAAATAAATGCTGAAAGGAGAGTTTAACCACAGTGTAATACATCAGAAAATCCCCTGGTAAGAACTTTCTCCTTACCTTTACAGTGTGCTGAAAGCTGGGACAATACTTCAGTGTGAGAGGCCTTGGGACTCAGCATCTCGAGACAGAGCTGGAACTTCTGGACCATCCAAAATTTGGTGGACTTGAACCATACATGCTTGGAGCCACACAACCAGAGGAGCTGGCAGGGAACCAGATCGCAAGAGGGAGAAAGAAGCATGGAGGAATCTGCAAGCAAAGAATCTGGAGGTGGAGGCAAGAAGAGGGGCAGTGGGAATTAGACTCATGCATTTTAGAGAGGCAAAAAGCTGGTCAGGCCCACAGGATAGGGGGCTGCTGATGGTGAGGAGTCATCAGACCAGCAAGTCTCACTTTCCCCTCCCAGTCCTATCCCTGCTTTTTCTGGCCTTACCACGGTGCCCAGCATCCCTCTGTTCCATGCGTACTGCCACAACTGATGTGAAGGCAGATGGGACTCCCAGGCTGAGGCTGAGCTTAACTGCACTGTGCCAGACGTCCTCCATCTCTGACTTGCTTGTCCCCTGCCAGGCCAGTTTCCATAGCAGATGCATCATGGCTATGCGGTGCACAGGAAACCTGCTAGGGAAGGAATTAGTCTTTGTTTCCATGCTGAGGAGGGAGGTGAGACATGGATGAGACATGGAGTAAAGAGCAGGGGGCAGTGGGGCAGTGGTCACCCAGGTCCTCTCCCTGGTCAAGGCAGAGGGGATAAGGTGTGAGCACTGGGTATGCAGAGTGTCTTCTCTTTTCAGGGTGTGCATGCAAATGATATTTGCTTTCCCTCTTCCAGCCCTAGACAATATCCCTCTGCCTTGTGGGCAATGGTATTACCCTCTTACCTATAATCTGCTGACGGGGACATTGAGAACCTGAGTGTGTAATGAAAGGGCTGGCTGCCCACACGATACTGAAGGGTCACAGTTGCCACATCCGCCTCTGGATCCTGGTGGCACAAGTAAAAGAACCACAGAAAAGTTCATCTGCAGGGAACTGGGAGACTGGCTACTTAGGTACACTCACTGATTCACTAAATTAGTAGATATCCATTGTAGGAGCAGAGGCAGTAACATCTCTGAGGGAAAGAAAGGGACTCACAGAGGCATGATACTGGTTTCCCCCCGTCTAGCAGAGGTGAAGGAGTCTCAGCATTAAGGAGGTGAAACAGGGAGTGGTTTTTTTTGTTCTGCCCGGGAACATATGATTCCTGGATCCGAGCAGCCACTTTACCTGTGCTTGCCCATGGATCTGGGCATAGATGATGCTATGATGTCCCTGGAAGATTGTCTCAGGAGCTCTTCTGATCACTGTCACCTCCAAGCCTGGTGGAAGGTCCCAGTGTAGTGAGATCTCACTTGCCAGGGGCTGCAGGGCCTGCTGCAGGCACTTCACTGCCTGATGAGAGGATGCAAAGAGAACATACCACTGGAGAGAGTCTCTGAATTGGGGTGGATGATGGTATTTGGATTTCCTTGCACGTCTAGGAGAGCTGTAGGAAGCGTTCAATACGGGGAACACTGAAAGCAGTGGATCATTACCTCGGATATCATGGTCATCTTGGAGTGGATGCACACACATTTGCCTTTGGTCTCCAGAGCAATGGCCTGGGAAATATAAAAGCTCTCACACTTGTCTGTAGGAAAACAGAAACACCTGTACAGAAAATGAGAGGAAGGTTAGAAAGGGAAGAGGAAAAATGCCGAGAAGAGCCTGACAAATTCTGAGAGAAGGTCTACTAGAGGAAGAGTATAGATGGTCTTAGGGAGGTAAGACAGAAGTGTGTGTGGATGTCACTGATGAAATCCCATCAAGGCAAAGAGAAGAACTGTGACAGATGAGGATCTGGGAGAATGTTTGGAAGACTGAAAGGAGGAGTCACCATGCTGGGGGACAGGAACAGGGCTCCCTCATTACCGATGGTAGTCCCGGTAACGGTGAACCTCAGCCATGATAGCTTGCTCTTCACTGGAGACCTTCCTTTGGATGAAGATGAAGAGCTGAGGTAGAGAAGAGGGGATCAAAGATTTCATGGCTCCCCACACGGGAAAGACACCCTTCTAAAATGCAGGCAGCCTTCCCCAACTCACTCCCTTACTCTCTGTCTACTTGCCTTGAAACAGGGAGAGAAAGAGATTGTATATCTCCTGTCATTAACATCAGGACATCTCTCAGCACAAAGTGGCCCCCCACAAGTAAGACCCATCTTCCCCAGGTGCAGGTAAATTCCACAGAAGCTCTCCAAAGCTGCCCACCCAAAGATGGTGTCACTTTCTGCCATGAGAATGTCCCAGTGGCAACTCTCAATACAAAAGTTAGCAGAATGACTCATGTTGAGCTCTAAAATCTACCCTTACCCCACTGTTTACACCCATGCACTCCGACAACCCTCTGTCCCTTGCTACCTGGCGAGGAAGTCCACGAAGGAGGGGGGTGCTGTAGATAGATCTTAGGAGACCCAAGAGATCACAGCCCCCAAGATCAGGGCAGATGGAAGAGATGTGTCCCACAGCATTGTCCATAGTTTCCTGCGTGTATTCCACACTTTGCCTATGGGAGAGCACGCAGTGTGTTTGAGAGGAAGGATCTGGTCCACAGCTATCCCCATATGACCATTCCCTACCTCACTACCAGTATTCTAGAAGCAACCTGAAAGGAGAACTACTCTATCACTGCATCTAAATGATCCTGCTCTATAGCTGCCATCTAGAAAGTGTTTGTCCCATACTTTCACTTAGAAAAGTCATGCTGCGTTTGCCCTTGCCCTATCATCACCCCCAACTCACGGATAGAAGCCTTCAAAAGTGGCCCCAAAACTGTAGATGTTGAAGTAGCAACCCAGAGGCAAACTCTTGAGGAGGAAGAGCAGTGTGTTCTGGGGACAGGAAGAGGGATGGGCAGAGCTCAGTTGAGGAAGCAAGGCAGAACCTCTGCCCCTGTAAAGCAGCTTGACTGCCCACTACCTGGGCATGAGAAATAAGTCCATAGTGATGATATCCTCAGATGGTACCTGTGCATCCTGGTAGAGGCTGCAGTCCATGACAAAGATGAATTCCCCGAGATGGCCTGGGCTGGGCATCACTTCAGGAATGCTGGGTTTCAGTGTCACCATCACCACTGGGTCCCCCAACAGAGAGCCTGAAGTGTGTGGGGGAAAGGAGGAAGATTCTTAGGTTGCAACACTTTTCCTTGTCTCTTTGCTTTTGTCACACACATTGCCCTCAGGTCCAGCTTATGATACTGAATGAGAAAGAGCTGTTGACTCCCTTCATCATAGAGAGACCTTGGAGAGGCACCGTGATAAACTAGAGTGGTGGGCAACCACCAACTGCATGAAATTTAAGTAGCAGACTGCTGGATTCTGCAACTGGGATAGGATCATCTTAGATGGATGTACAGACTTACAGACGAGAAGATGGAGAACAGCCCCATAGAAAAGGATCTGGTGATTCTGATCAGTGACAAGCTGATGATCAGCTGTGCAGTATGCCCTGGCTGCCAAAAGGGCCAGTTGTAGCCTGGGGTGCGGCATGGAGCTGCGTCAGGGAAGGGTCGGGCTGGGGGTTAGGAACAAGTTCTACACCAGAGTGTGGTGGGCATGGATCAGGCTCTGCAGGGCAATGGTCACAGCACCAAGCTGCCAGAGTTCAAGAACCATTTGGACAATGCTCACAGGCGTGTGGTTTAATTTTAGGTAGTCCTGTGTGGGAGCATGAGTTGGACATGAGTGTGGGCCCCTTCCGATTCTGGATACTCTGTGATTCTATAATTTGATAAAGTTACTGCCCGAATGTTCCTCAGACTCTTCAAGTCTCCCCAGCACCTGGTGCTCAGTTCTGACCTCCACACTCACCAGGTGCAGCTTTGGGGTCTCTGCTCTCCACCACAGCGCTGAGATTGTGAGGCCCTCCATAATACACCAACAATTCCAACTTATCAGAGAGACAGGGTGATGATTTCAATGAAACCTGAGAACGAGTGGGGTGTGTGGAGGAAAAAGAACCATCAGCAGACTGCAGATCCTTCATTTCTTTCCTCCTTTGGGACTGGCATCCTTCAGGGCCATACCTCAGCAGATGTCTGATCTGGAGCTGTGTACTGCAGAGGGGTGCAGCTGCTGTTAACACTGATATGTGACACACCACGGGCTGACTGCAGACGGATTCTGAAGTGCAGGTCTTCTGATATCTCCTCTTCAGATAGGTGCCGTCCTGTAGGGACAAAGAGGTGTGAGAAGTTGAAAGGCAAGAACCCATGGCAGCAGACTGGGGTGATGAGAGAAGCCACATGGTAAGAGAGCTCTACGAGGGGAAGAATACAGGTAGTCTTAGTGAGGTAAGACGTGTGTGTGGAGGTAATTGATGAAGTCCCATCAAGGCAAAGAGAAGAAATGGAAAAGACAAGGATTTGGGAAAATGTTTGGAAGATTGACAAGGAGAGTCACCATGGTGGGGGACAGGAGCAGGATTCCCTCATTCCCAATGATGGCCTGGGTAACAATACTCATTTAAGTTCTTTCCTCAGAGGGCGGCGAGGCGCTGGCACTGCTGCCCAGAGCTGTGGGTGCCCCATCCCTGCAGGCACTCAAGGCCAGGTGGGATGGGGCCCTGGGCAGCCTGAGCTGGTGGGTGAGAATCAGCAAATGGCCAGGGGTTGGAACTAGATGATCTTTGAGGTCCCTTCTGACCCAGTCCATGATATGATTTTGTGATTCTGTGATCTGTCATGGGGGACTGTGCACAGGTATCTGCAGGGATCTCCTGCCTGGGAATATATGGGGAGAATTGGAGGACTTCTGTCTGGCATATATGAGGAAGAATTTTTAGGTTCTCTAACTGTGCCATGTATGTAGGAATAGGATCCTTCACAGAGGGATACTTGAGAGAAGTGTGCTTCTCCCAGATGGATACACTTGTTGGATCACTCACTGATGAATTTTTGTTGGGGAAATAGCTTCTTTGGCCAGCAAAACTTGGCAGCTCCATCGGGATTCAGTGGAAGCTCCTGGACATAGCACAAGCTGATGGCCACCTCTCTGTTAGGAGGCACAGTCCCCAAGAAACAAGCGAACACTGGACCCCAAAGATCCCACTGCTCCTTCAGATATCTCAAATTCTCCATGCCTGGAGTGGCTTTGTACAGCTGCTGTGCCTGCCACAAAAAAAATGGAGAAAAACATGTCGCTGAGGTCTCACATGGATTTCATTCTCTTTTCTCCAAACTGAACTCCAGGTCTACCCCACCTCCCCCTGACTCCATTGGAGTACCTCCTTCTTGTCCCAGAGCACTGCTTCAACATGAGTGTCCCCCATGGTGGCATGGAAGGTGTGTACAACAGTGTCAGAGTCCACAGGAAAGATGAACATGATCTCCCTAGAGATTTGCTGCTTATTGCAGAAGAACATCTCAGATACCACATCGGCCACAAAGTCCTGGATGGTTACATTTACTGTCACAGATTCAAGCTCCATTTCGGGATAGGAAGAAAAGAACCATGTTCCTCTTGAGAACAAGCCTGAGGAAGACACAGCAGTTGTAAGACTCCCTGAAAGCCTGTAGAGAATTTAACTTTCAAGTGTCTGCTTGCAATGGTCTACAGCTGTGTGCTCAACCCTGCCACAGAAATGCTGTTGCAGAGCTGACAAATAGCAACAGAAAGTCCCCAAGGCAGCCAACATGTTTCCCTGGGACCACAGAACCTCATCTATCTAAGCCACCACCTTCTTTGAGACTAATGTTCTGGTGAGATTAACTTAATCAGATGTACTACTCATTTTGCACTGCTGGAAAGGAAGGGGGGACCGTATCAGGGGTGCTTAGCATAGCATCAAAGGCAGAGTCACAGAAAATCCGTATCATCCTCCCACTTCTTGATGGCTTCTCTGGAAAGCCCTCAGCACCATGGGTGAAATGAGCCACACTTCCTTTGCTATGCAACTCAGAATCAGTGAAGGCTGCTTACAGGCCATGTCCTCAAGTTCCCAGAACATGGTAAGGTGTGCTTCCCTCTCAGCCATCCAAGAAAAGAGTTCCTTTCCACATCACTTTCCCAGAAAAAATCTTCCCCACTCTTCACAGATACCACCCTCCTGACCCCAGCTCACCTCTGTACCTCCTCTGCTTGCTCAGGGTGCCACTTACTCTCATCCTGACTGGTTGAAGACAGTTTCTGTGTGGAAAAGGGCATAAATTGAGTTACAGGGATCTAACAAAAAGTGGCCCCCTTCCACCAATATACATCATGGCCAAAATGGCTCTTTGCCATCACATACCATTTTGTCCCTCTCTCAAGAGCCTTTGAGCAGATTAATAGGAGACTAACTAGTGGAATGGGAACTGCAGGTGCCAAAAATCTCTCTTGGTTCTAGGCTGTGGCGGTGCTTAATTCATGTGAGACCACAGGGAAAGTGGCATGAATGGTGGGTCACAGGCTGAGACACGAGGCAAGAGCATGAGCTTGGGCCTGAGCACTGACAGTTGCACCTAGACAAAACCAGCACCAGTGCTGACAGGATGAAATGGACAGAGGGCTGGACAGGCAGAACAGATGAAGCATGGTCTGGGTGTGAGGAAGGTGGCACTGCTGGCTGGCTGGGGAGGGCTGTATTTGGTGGCAGCAGGACTGAATGGTAGGAAATGTGAAGATATAGGAAACTGGGCAGGAGAACGGATGAATAAATTTGTAGCTGGATACATGGATGGCCATCCAGGGAAGCGGAAGGCAGATAAGCAAGCACTGAAGGAGCTGATAAGCAAATGTAGAATGTGAGGGAAAGGATGCTAAATACTGCCAAATTCGTGATTGATAGGTCAATTCAGCACCTAAAGATGGGTACCTAGAGACAGCTAGTCCTTGCACATATCACTGATCTGAACTGCTCAGAGCCTTAGCTCAGTGGCCATAGCTTTGTATCGTGGAGCCATACAGCAGGTGAGTGGCCTCACAGAAATAAGGAAATCCGTCTGACTGCCTCTGCAGAATGATGACTGTCTCCCATATGCCCTGTGCTATACATGTTGGCACCATGTGTCTATCTTGGAAATGACAGGATGTCCAAACATCCATGTTTCATGCTATCCTTCAGCAATTTTATGGTTCTATCATCCTTTTTATATACCCAATTTCTTTACTGTGCTAGCTATAGGAAAAGTCATTTATAAATGATGCTCTAAAGCATATGAGTGTCCTTACTGGGATAAGCAGCTCCCAGCACTGCAGTCAGCAGGTCCCAGTGAGAAATGCCTGTATGGAAAAGGAATACTGAGGAAGACACAGTCTGAGCTCCTTGCTGCGGGGGCAGCTGCAAGGTATTCAATCAGAGGACCTTCTGGGGGAATTGGAAAAGGAGGAGGAAGTGACAGCTATTCATAAGAATAAACTGGTGAATGTTGCCACAAGCAGAGGACTGACAAAGCATATGATTCCTTGCTCATTATTGATTTGCCAATGATCAACTTTAAGGAATCCATTAAGAAAATAGATACGCCTGTACACTCTGGTTCTGTATAATTCTGAATTGTTGAATATCACCATCTCTGTGTATATGTCTCAAGGAGAATTTGGACCTTAACTTGCATATCTTTGTCCTCAGCTGTGGAGGCCCCAGACATGCAGGCACCATTGGAACTGATCACCACAAACCAATTCCATTTTTGCACTCTCTCTGAGGGCACACTTGTTCCTTAGTCATGTGCAGAAGCCCTGAGAGCAGCAAGGGACAGACATGCACACACACGCACTGCCCAGAGAAGCATAAATGCACAGTCACGCTGTTCCTGCACCCCTTGGCCTGGCAGGACACGGCGGCACAGAAGACAGAGAGGCACAGACAGAAGCCAGTGAGCCTGTTGCCGCGGTGTGGCAAGCACAGAGAAAGGATCGTGCACATGGAAACAGCACACGGCTGGAAGGATGGATGCAGACAGGAACTCACCAGAGAATGCAGCCTGCAGCAGGAGCAGTGAGCAGACGGGCACAGGAGCGGCTCAGGAGCGGAATCCTCCCTGCTGTAACACAGAGGAGGAGGGGTGAGCTCTGCAGGAAGCTGCGGGCAGAGGGGGAGCTGCCTGCTGCAGCGCCTGGGCGGCTGCCTGGGAAGGGATGCAGCCAAATGCTCGTTCAGGGACGAAAGGCTGCAAAGCGGGGCTGCGGCCCTGCCTTCCTGCTGAGATGGGCGGAGGGCTGGAGAATGTGTTTCCATCGGAGTCTCAGCAGTCCCTGTATTTTAAAATATTCTTTCACAGCGCTTTTTATTTCAGCATCTGACGGCTGAGAGAAGACCCTGGCAGCATTTCAGGCATAGCCAGCTACAGGGACTGCAAGTCTGAAGGAAATCTCTGTGTATCTGTGTGTGGTGGCCTGGAAGCTCCTCCTGGTGTCTTCCAAAGAGACAAGACAGATAAACCTGTATTTTAGCTACTTATCACAGAGAGCTGCCTTGTGCCCTGGATGCAATGTACAGAAGTTCTGCTGCTGGATTTGCAGGTGCAGTGCATGATGTATGTGTAGATGCCAACAGTTCACCCGTGATCACGATTAACTAGAATATTCTGTGTGCACTCACCTAAATAATAAGGGAGGAAAGGAAATGAGTCCAAACAGATGGAGCCAGACTCTGCTCATTCACACCCCATGACAGGATGAGAGGCAATGAGGAAAAAAACAAAACTGGTGGAACGAGAGGATAAGATGTAAGATAACAATTCAAAGATGGAACCCATTTGAGAGAAGCCTGTCAGATTCTCTTCCACTTGGAATTTCTGTCAGCTGCCACAACAGTGACACTCTGTGATGTCTTCTCACGAACATGGGAAGCTCTGGCGTGTCAACCTACCCACTGCGCCCCAGGAAGTTAGAATTCTTAGTCAGGACCAAGGGCTCAGCAAGATTTCTACTTCTAAAGCAGGCAGTTCGTACATTTGCAATCGTACTTGTTTCTATATTTGTCCCTAGAAGGCAGCAAGGAAGCTCAGTGAAAATGAAACCCAAGAGAGGTATTTTCATGCTCATTGTGATATTTTATTTCTGTTGAGGTAAATCCACCAAACAACACATATTGTTCCTACCCACTCTGGGAAGACTAAATGATGAGTTTGCTCCAAGTTGTGTCTGCGTGCTCGATGAAAACATGGATTTTCCTCCCTCTACCTAAATGAATACTCCTGTGTTCTGGCATCTCTTACAGGTAAGTGCTTTCAGTCACTTTGCCAAAAACTGTTATTCATGGCAAAAGGAACTAGTGGAAGAGAGATGTAGAATACCAATGACATTAACTCCTGGGTGATGAGGTTTCTGTCCAAGACAACTGCAATCTCTGCTGCAATGACTTTACTGTATAAAGATG